CCAACAGATCTATGACCATGAGGGATGCCCTCGGAGAGAAGTTCACCAGAAAGTGGACCCTTGACAACCGTTTCTGTTCACCATGCACAGGGGCGGCATAGCCCTTCCATGCCATGGCGCAAGTCGTCAGTCGGTTTCTGCCGATCCCCAACTCTGAAGTGAACTGTTTGTTTGCTTGTCCCATCCTTGTATAGAACCATGTTTTGATATTCGATGCGTATGAAGGTCCGTTCTCTGCCCGCCGATTTTCCGGATTTCCAGGGCCGGGTCCTGGTACTTGCAAGTACAAGAGCCCCTTTGGCACGTGGCTACAATTTGGTAATTTGGTGAATCCCTTTTCGGGACCCCGCTTTGAGAGAAGTGCCTGGGATGTTTCAAGCCACTCCTATCAATCTCGCGATCGGCAGGGCCCTTTCGTTTGGGTGATGAACACTCAGCTCAGCGCCTGGGCGAACCGCGCCGAAATCGGGTGGGGAGTTTGGCAAGTTCCATTTGCGCATTCTTGCTGTTTCCTGGTTCTCTTTGAGTACCTTTTGGGTAGCCCTTCCAGGCGTGGATGAGGCACATCCAAACCCTGGAGTGCCCCACATTGAGCTTCCTGACCTTCGGGCGATCACCACTACCACTGGCCACTACTGCTGCCGCTGCTACCATCACCACCGCTTCGCCTGCCTAAAGCCCTTCTCGCATGTCAAAGTTGTGTTTGTTTTGAACAAGCGGTTTCTTTTACCTGCCCGTGTCACAAGAGTTCTTGTCGCATATCCGCAGTAGCTCCCGCCCCCCAACTCTCAAACCTGTCATGCAGACCATTCGTTGTGTGCGCAAGTTGCAGGTCATTTAACTAATTTATGTGGGGTAGTGAGGCCATGAACCTTTATGCCCATGTTGGACCCCAAATCTAGCCTTGTGCCACCAGTGCGGTAACCTTTGGGCCAGACACGCAATTTTTGGTGGCAGGGTCTTGTCTTTCCGTTTTGAGGTGAAGTTTGATCTCCTGTCTTGCCAATGCAATATTATATTCGCCTAATGGATGATGTTGGAAAGGACATGACCTGGTGAGAATCGGTCCGCAGCTTGCGCAATCCACGTAGCTTGAAGCAGTCTCTGATCTGCCCTGGAGTGACTGGTGTGAAAGGTGTTGCAGTTTGTTTCTTGGCGTTTGTGTGAGTTGGCTTGTTGAGAGAGGCGGAGGTCTGACACCGCCCGTGGACAAATCGGCTAGGGTCACGAAAAGGAAGGGGAGTTGGACAACTTCAATCTGAAAGTGTGGGGCTCGACATTCTGCACATTCGCAAGATCTGGGAAGGCCCACGTGCCCTATGCCATCAAGCATACCCTACCACTTGTGCGTTTGTTTAACGCTTCTTTGGTTTCCCTGCAATGAGGGTGAGTGTCGAAAAGTGCTCTTGAGCAATTTAGCAGGGCATTGTTCAGTTTTAGGATTTATAGCGAGGGTTGTATGAGAATAGTTTTATCACTTCAAGAGAGAATACAAGGAATCCTAGCAGTAGTGGTAATCGACTAGTTCCTTATTCAGATAGTTACACAAGCCTTTCTAGAACCAACGGTCTGGTTTTCGGGCTCTCAAAGGCGGCTCGCGGAGTGAGGACGGGTTTCACGCTGTGGCTGAGGTTGTCAGTTGTATCTGGGTCCATGTTGAAACCATTGGAGGCCAACAGATTGTCATTTGAGCATTTTGGGAGGTTCTCAAAACGGACCTCTTGGAGGTTTCATCAGATCACATTGTGAGTGATGGGGGTGTCACTTTGATGAATTCAACTTATGGCGTTTGCTGCCATGAAATTCACTTCAGCTAGGATGGCAGGTGCCCTTCTGACTGGGCACCATCAAAATTGCCCCAAACTGGGGAGTCCAAGCTGCCAAGAAACAGCTCCAAAAACATGCTGCAGCAACATTTGAAGCATCCAAAGCTAAAGTACAGCCGAGAACTTTGATTTTTCCGGAAGGGGGAGGGGAGGTTGGGCTTAGTCAAGTGAGGCAGGAAGATTTGGGCACCCGACCCAGTCCAAAGAATCCCGGAGTCAGATAGTTTTGAAACTTATAATTTTCACATAAAAAATATTGCAGCACAGTGCCTGGGTTTGGCTCCAATGGGCGTCCAAAATGGGAGGTGTCGACTTCTGTCTGAACCACCCGCAACACATGGTCGTGTATTTAAAAGGACCCCGCCCCCCCCCAAAAAAAAAACACCAAAATGAATGAAAGAAAGAAGTGGCTCACTTTGGTTTCCTTTGAAACCACCTACTGAACCAGTACAAGGCCGGCAAACAGAGTGAGACTCCAAACAGCCAAATTCTGGATGATGCACACACACACACACACTTTGACTAAAGCAGCCACTGTACACCAGACAGTATTACCAAGGTATCGGTTTTGGGTGGCCTCTATCGGTGTTGCAGGTTGATATCGGTTTCGGGTCCCCTATCGGATTCTGGTGGTTTAGTCAGGTATGTACGTTGTTTAGGGGCAGTTTGCCCCCCAATGAGCAATACTAGAATGCCGTAGCCAATACTGATCCACCCGCAAGCAATATATAATTCAATACCAATCATTTGCGAGACTTGGGACACATTCGCGGAGGTTTCCAGACAGGGGTCCAGCTTTAAGAGACTTGCCAACAGTCCCCCGACATGGTGGCTTTAGAACACACAACCATTTCGATCCTTTTAGGTTCGGGATGATTGTATAAAGGGAACCGGGAAGCAGAGGGAACCCTTTGCAACAGGTTTCCATGCAACATTGAATTGATCCAGATGTTTTCTTGCAATCCAGAGTTTGCTGTTTGCTGAAGCGTTCACCCAAAGTTGGAAGTACTAGATACTAGCTGGCTCGTCAGTAAGGCAGCACTGTTGTGTTAGCCACCCCAACAAACGCGTATTGTGGACATGTTGTGTAGAGCAATTTCTGAATAGTTCACAGAATGTTCAGAAGTGTTTGGCAGTTTACCGAATGGATCGACCCGGTCGGTCAGGAGCGCTTTCTTGCACAGCTGGCGGATGAGAGGAGAGCGGTTGGTGATCTGGATGGGATCGACAAAGTCAACTTACGTAGGGAGCAACAACACTGCGATTGTGCCACTTTATTCTGTTGAACGGGCAAGCAGAAGGGCATGATGCATTTGGGGTCACCTGTTTAATGACACCTGAGTTTGATTCATTTGCCGTGGGTGCTCTTTGGCGCTCTTTGCGACGAATCATAGACTCAGGGCCATAGCAACTGCAGCTAATGGTGGCTAGCAGGGACTATTCCGGGCTCTGAACTTTCCACGGTTCCCAGTGCTATCTAAGTCACTACTGGAACTAAAGCGATGGAATCACCGGCTGGCTCTCCATGCCAAGCGCCTTCGGTGGTTTTCCTGCAGTGCCATGGCCATTCGGCAGGGTTCCCTATATTTTCCCTTTGGGTTGGTTTCAACATCAGCTTTTTTGCCAGGCAAGTCCATCGTTGCAAGTGGTCATTGGCACGTATTGCTCATGTTCGACCCCAAAATGTCTGAACTATCCGTTGCCTCTTGGTTAACAAAAGATTTGTTCCCGCCCAACAAACACCACCTTTTGGAGGTCAACGTCCCACCTAGTGCTTTTTTTGGCACCTTGGGGCCATACCAACATCCTTGATTAGTGTGAGAGCGGTACGGCAGCTGTTTGGCTCAAGAAGAAGCTCTTTGTGGCAGGATGTCTTTCAAGGCGAGGCGGCTATAGAGGTGTTCATTCTCAGTTGACTTCTGGACATGCAGTTGCGAACTTAGAAAACCCTCAAATGGGTGCTTCTCAACATGGTTAATGTTTTCTTGGTCGGTGTGTAAAGGGACACCAGAAGGAAACATCCCCTACTTTGAGCAACCCCCAAATGGGTGGAGGGGGGGCACGCGTGAACGATGTCAGAGTCCCCAACTACCAAGTTTATCAATGTCGCTTTCAGCATACATGCACTGAACCCCAAGTGTGCTCTGAAGAGAAGCAACGGGTGTCGGGCATCATTTCTTCAACCTAGACATGAGATGTAGTCAGCTTCAATGGCTCCAGGCATCGCGATTCTATGAGAGGAAGATGTGGGTGTTCTCGAATCTCGGTTTGGTTGGTGTTTAAAGGGGCACCACAAAGGACAATGCAACTCTTTAACGGACCGATTTCGCACACTGGTGGATATTGTTTTCTAGTTGTCCCCTATTGGTTGTGGTAATAATATTGCAATACATGGCTACGAGTTTTTGGGCAAAAACACCTCCACACCAGCCCAACCATGTTCCGCAAAAAACACCAAAATGTCAATGTCCATGTCCAATTTCCAATGGTACCTTAGAGACGAGTTTGGCAGGGATTGTCATGGACCCCGTGGAATTCAGACAGGCATAAGGGTAAGGATGCCAAGCCATAGTCCACACTTCGTTGCCTCGGCACGTGACTTGGGCCAGGTTTTGTTGTTGGCCACTACGGCAGCGGCCTCCTTCTATGACCTCTCGGCTGTCGACATCGATGGCAACACCCTGCCCTTGAGCTTTGAAGGCGAATCAAAGCAGACCTCCTAGTCCCAGACACCCCCTTTTCCGATTCGCGGGTGTGTCCTGATTTCATATCCAGAGGTCTAGTGAACCCCCTTTCTTGCTTCAGGGAAGCACACGCATGTGTGTGTAGGTCTTCAGCTGCGAATACTTTCTCACATTTGGCGCTTGTCGGCTTTTTTCAGCACAACTTTGGTGTCAACATGCCGTGATTTCATACAAAGACAAAGAGCCAGGAGCCAGTCGTGATCTTGTTTATACGATCTTTTGCCTAATATGTGCATTCCAGACGGAGAATCGTCCTGGGTCAGCATCTGGCAGTAGAAGCGATAGCCGTTTGGGGGGGTTGTCCAATCATTCTGCGCGATTAGGATGGGGTTTTAATAAGAAGGGCGGTTGACTGAAGTTGCGCACAGGCAACGTGAGCGTCGTCATCAACGTGGCTACCCTCTGAGGCTTTACCTCTTCGAACTATGAA